ATTGACTTTGGTTTTGCATGATGGTATCGTGACTTAGAAGGCTACTGTGCATGTCTTCCAATTATTGATGTTTTGAGAATATTGTGAGAGATTTCTGAGAGTACTTGCATGAAACCAAAGACGAAAATCTTCTAGAATGTATATGGGTCAATATAAAAGAAAAAAAGAATGACATGGCCATAGGTATATACTATAGGCCACTCAATCAAACAGAAAAAGTAGATATCCAGGATTCCGGTTTGCAAGGCTTCGGCGGTGGTAGGAATCCGCGATCGTGCGCGGTTTCTGCTGCGCTCGCCGCTGGAGTGCTTCCGATCCAGCCGGATTTGGGGGCTAATAGTTACCCCGTAGAGGTAACTGAAGACAGGGGAGATCCAGCAGGGGTCCAGGGGAATCGCAACCCCCCTCCTCAGCTGGCTTAACTCCCTTTTCCGAAGGCGGTGGAGCGGCGGTCACACAAAGAAGCTTTCATCCGGATAAGAATGTGCAGGAGGAAGCTGAGAAAGTGAATGTTCTGGCTGACCGGGATAATAAATAGCATTTAAATACCCTGGAATTTTAATTTCGTCAAAGATACATTGTTCCCAAAGAAGATTGGGAAAAGCGGTGGATGAAAGTTAAAAGGGAAAGTTTGTTTTTTTCTCACTCTCCTTCCTTACGGTGATAGCAGATGGAAATCGGAAAAACCCGTTCTGGCACCAGCAGGTAATTAAATTTGAAAGTTAAAGCCAAGGAGACATTAAAGATTTCTGAACACTGAAAAGTGGGAAGGGAGAGGAAAAGAATTAATATTAAGATTTTGCTGGAGGAGGCTGCTTGGAACTTATAAGACTAGAGTTAAATTGTAACAAGACTTCTAAAAGATACATTTTGGAACTTTGCAATTGAACTGTACCCCTGGAAGAGAAAGTATAAAAAGAAGAAAGTGCTAAATGAAACAGTTTGTGTGTATTTGGATTGCTTGGTGACTTTGGGACCTTTGGAATTTATTATTTGAAAGACTAAAAACTTTTGGGTTGTTTAAAAAACTTTTTCACAATGGCATTACTTGTTGATGAACTGAAAATGGAATTTAAAAAGCTAAAAGAAGAGGAACAAGAAGGGAAGGGCTCTTCTGGATCTGTTTTTCATTTTTTAGAAATGGCGATTTCTACCTATCAGCAATTACAAGAACAAGAAGGTTGGGATGAAGAAGAAGAAGCCATCTTTAATGAACAAACAACTTTAGTTGGGGAAGAAAAAGGAAAGAGGGGAAAGAGAATGGAGAATTTAAGACTTAAAAAAACAACCAAAAAAGGGAAAAATAAGGTGAAAAATCGATACAATGTCAGAAAGCAACAGAAAAGAGGAATACAGAAGAGGGTGGAGATTAAGAAGGTGGAGATCAAGAGACGGGGGTAAAAAGGCTAGATTGGAGAAGAAAGGAGGGGAAAGGGGGAAGAGAAGTTACAAAGGTTTGAAACAAGATGTAAAGAAACAGGATTTATTCAGAGATAATGGGTAAAAATATAATTAAAAAAGAGATTCTGCAAAAGTACATAAGACTGTATTGTTGTATTTGTATTTGAAATAATGTTAGAAAACTGGAACATATGATTATAAAATGGGATAAAATATTAAAAGGAATGTGTAAAATGTTTAAGATTTAATGATAGAGTTTAATTTTCTATGGATTATTGTTTTAATTATATTATAAACTTATTATTTTCCTATTTTAAAATATAGTACGTAGCTTTAGAATGTACTAAGCAGAATCAGAATGAAAATTATATATTATTTTAAGTGTTAAATTTAGGGGAAAGATATAAAGGCGTCATACTTCAATCAGTGATTACTGGAGAAATTTTGTGCTAATGAGAAAAGATAATAGATAATTGAAATAGAACAGACAAATGATACAAGCATAATGATTTAAATTGAGATGAAATAAATAAGATAGAATTAAGAGAGTGAAAAGAGGGGAGAAGCTATATAGAAAATGTAGAATGGTAAATAAGATATGAAATGGTATATAAAGTGAGCATGAATTTGATTTATGTCTGTACAAAAAGATGTAACCCGGGACTAAGCCGCTTTCCAAAAAGAAGTTTTATGTTTTCATGTTTTGTGTTTTGTTTGTGTATGTTTGTTTATTGAAAATTAATAAAAAAATTATTAAAAAGAAAAAAGAAAAAGTAGATATCCTTTTGCCAACCAACTAATAAATATATGTTAGGAAACACACTACAATAGTAATGGGGGACTTCAATTACCCTGATATCAATTGGAAAACTAATTCTGCACCAAGTGAGAAATCAAATAGGTTCCTAACCAACCTAGTTGACAACATTGTTGTCCAAAAGGTTGAGGAGCGAACTAGAGGGACAATCATACCAGACTTAATACTTACAAACAGAGAAGAAATTATAGAGGGAGTTGAAACTTCAGGAACCTTGGGAGAGAGTGGCCATGTCATACTAGAATTCAACATAACACAAACTCAAGCAATAGAACATAATGACACCAGAGTCTTAGATTTTAAAAGAGCTGATTTCAATAAATTCAGAACTTGGGAAAGAATCCTTGGATGAAAATCCTAAAGGGCAAAACAACTCAAGAATCTTGGGAAACTCTGAAAAGTATGATCATAAAAACTCAGACCAGCACAATACCACTGAGAAAGAAAAACAACAAATCCAAGAAGAAACAAGCATGGTTGTACAAAGATCTCTCTGACAAACTGAAAAAATAGAAAGAAGGACACATAACTAGGGCAGAATATCAGCAGATAGCCAGAATCTGCAAAGACAAAGTCAGGAAAGCAAAGGCTCAGAATGAACAAAGCCTTGTAACAAAAGTCAAAGATAATAAAAGTTTCTTCCAACGTATAAATAACAAGAAAAAAAAATCAAGGAAACAGTTGGTCAACTAAAGACAGAAGATGGCAAGGAAGTAACGCAACAGGGAGAAAGCAGAGCTGCTTAACTCATTCTTTGAATTCTTCACACACAAAGAAACTATAGCCCAATGAATCAAAAACAAAACTGTAAAAGACAGATTAGAAACAAAAGTTAAAATAAGCAAAAAAAAAAAAAAATAGTAAGAGAACACCTGTCTGATCTTGATGAATACAAATCACTGGAACCTGACGGATTACATCTCAGAGTTCTAAAGGAGCTGGGAGAGGTCATCTCGGAACCACTGTACCACATCTTTCAAAAATCCTGGAGCATCAGGGAACTACAAGAGGACTGGAAAAGAGCTGATGTGGTTCCCATCTTCAAAAAAGGAAAAAAAAAACAGACCCAGGAAACTACAGACCAATCAGCCTAAAATCAGTACCTGGGAAGATACTGGAAAAGATAATAAAAAACAAAAACAGATCTGCCAACGTCTAGAAACAAGTAAAGTAATAACTAGCAGTCAGTACGGGTTTGTTAAGAACAGGTCATGCCAATCCAATCTTATTTCATTCTTCAACACAGTGACTAAATTAGTAGACCAGCAAAATACTGTGGACATAATATATTTAGATTTCAGCACGGCCCACAACCTACTTCTTAGTAAGCTAAAAAATGTGGAATAGACAGCACCACCATTAGATGGACTCGAAACTGGCTGACAACCCATACTCAATGAGTAGTGCTTAATGGGTCTAAGTCTACATGGAGGGAAGTAAGCAGTGGGGTACCACAAGGTTCCGTCTTAGGCCCAGTACTCTTCAATATCTTCATTAACGACTTAGATGAGGGAATAGAAGGGGAACTTACCAAATTTGCAGATGATATTAAGCTGGCAGGAATAGCTAACACCCAAGAAGATAGGCTCAAGATCCAGATGGATCTTGACAGACTAGAACACTGGGCCATATCTAATAAAATGAAATTCAATATAGAGAAAAGTAAAGTCCTACACTTAGGCAAGAAAAATCAAAAGCACACATATAGATTGGGTGAAACCAGACTTAATAGCAGTAACTGTGAGAGGGTACTTGGAGTCTTAGTGGACAACCAGCTAAATATGAGCCAGCAGTGCAGCAGCAGCAGCCAAAAAAGCCAATGCAATCCTAAGTTGCATTAACAGAGGGATACAATCAAGATCAAGGGAGACACTAATACCACTCTATAAAGCCTTAGTAAGACCACACCTAGAGTACTGCATCCAGTTTTGGTCACCACATTATAAAAAAGATGTTGAGACTCTAGAAAAAGTGCAGAGAAGAGCAACTAGGATGATTAGGGGACTGGAAACTAAAACATATGAAGAACAGTTACAGGAACTGGGCTTGGCTCGTCTAGTAAAGAGAAGGACCAGGGGAGACATGATAGCAGTGTTCCAATATTTGAGGGGCTACCACAGAGAGGAAGGGGTCAAGCTATTTTCTAAAGCACCTGTAGGCCAGACAAGGAATAATGGATGAAAACTGAACAAGGAGAGATTTAACCTGGAAATAAGGAGAAATTTTCTGACAGTGAGAACAATCAATTAATGGAACAGCTTGCCTTTGGAAGTTGTGGGAGCTTCATCACTTTCAAGAAGAGATTGGACTGCCATTTGTCAGAAATGGTGTAGGGTCTCCTGCTTGGGCGGGGGTGATGGACTAAATGACCTACAAGGTCCCTTCCAACTCTGTTAATCTATAATCTTTTTTTCCCTCCCATTATCTACTGTTCTCAGAAATAATGGGCTGTGCACCCACCACCTGTTACTTTCCTTGGTGATTCTCAGCTTTGGATCTTTGATTTTGTTTCATTACCAATAATTGCTCACAGGATATTAACTATGTTATATGAAGATGATGAGAATTATATCTAGCAACATCTAGATAGCAGAAGTAGGGAACTATTATTCCAGAACATATCTGGACTCCTGAAAGCTACAGAAAAGACATGAAATCAGAGTATGTGAGTAATTTCTGGACCTGCTTTGGTGTTTTTAGTCACAAAGTTCAGGTACCATTTACAAATTGCTTCCCTTTTGGTTTCCATTGCTATTTTTTCCTGGGTTTTTTTATTTTACAGATTAATCTGGCTACCACATCAGCTGCACAATTAATCAGTCGCTCACAAAGCGTGAGTTCACCTGGTGCCACGACACTGACACAATCAGTCCTTCTAGGAAACACCACTTCACCACCTCTTAACCAGTCACAAGCTCAAATGTATCTTCGGGTAAGAGTGCAAGCATTGTTTTCATTATAAATCCTCTTTATCTTCTTGTAGTTTGTCATCTCTCTCTGCTTTACAACAAACCAGCTGTGAGTTAGCAACCTCTATTCCCTTGAACACTTCAGTGTATATATACTGCAGGGACAAAGGATCATTTAGAATTTTATCTTCTGTGATTTTAGAGACCTTTAAAGGGAATTTCAGGACATTTTATCAGAACAAAAATGTCATCTTTCGGCTGTAGCTCTTACATTTGTTTTAAAGATGCTCTAGAGAAAATACTCCCATTCTGCTACCCTGTTTCTCCAACAATACGGCCTCCCCCAATAGGAAGTTCCAGCATGTTTTATAGGCATGAAATGAAATTAAGCCCCTCCCCCCCCCAAATTAAGGCCTATATTAAAACATGCAAAATGGGGGGAATGGTGTGGGGGGGGGGGCTTGCCATTAGGAAGTACTTTTGTTGCACACCCGGATATGGTGCTGCCTGCGTTGCCCCCGATATGAAGTGCCCCACCAATGCCGAGGTCAACATCCAAGCCGTCGCCGCCCGCCCAAAGATGCAAGGGGGGGGGGGGAATTAAGTCACCCCCGAAAAGACAGCCTAGCCATTTTTTCGGGGCTCAAAAAAAAATAAGACCCGGCCTTATTATATGAGAAACACGGTATTTAGAATAGCTGTGAAGATTTGGCTCTTCATCTAGGCCAGGGGTACTCAAATTTTTTAAACAAGGGACCAATTCACGGTCCCTCAGACTGCTTGGGGGGGCAGACTGGTTGGGGGGCTAGGTGGTCATGTGACTGGGTGTGCATGGCCAATTTCACAGTCCAGTCTCCAGTTGCACTCTGCCAGCCAAAAATATTGGCCTTACCTTCCCGTTCCAGCGGGGCTTGCGAAGGTAAGTCCTGCGCTCGGCTGGCGGGTGGGGACTGGTGGGTGGGCGGGACAATGTGGGCAGAGCAGCCTTGTCCTGCACGGGCCAGATTAATGGTTTTGGTGGGCCATATGAGGCCCGCGCGCTGTAGTTTGACGACCCCTGATCTAGGCCTTCAATGGTACCAGTGATAGCTCTCAATTGTGTTTGCCATATTTTTTCTTTATTTTTTATGTTTTGTTGTAATTTCTTCAATTGTTGTAAGTCACTCAGAGTGATTGAGAGCTGAGTAACAAACAAGGGTAAGAAGTTATTATGACTGGTTGCACAATCAGTCAGATGTTTAGACTGGCTTTTATTATTTATTAATATAATTTCCATATTTGTGGGACCCAGACTCTCTCTCCTTCAAACGATAACAATGAACTTCTGAAAGCTGGGTATTTCAAAAGGAATTCTTTATTGAAATGGAAGTTATCTAGGTACTAGTCAAAGCAGGGTCTAATATGCCTCCAGGCATACAGCATAGATAAAGGGAGTTAGAACCCCTCCCCTTAGTCTGATGTGGATTTCGTCAATACAAAGAAGCAACATGTTAATTCCCCAACCCCTTTTCTGGGAACATAGTTGAGAAAAGTTTCACAGGAAGTTTCTTTCGGAGCTGGAATTTTTATGGCCCCTTCTCTTGCTATCTCTCCAAGAGGTGACAAGTTTCCAGGCATCTGGGTTCCAGTCCCCAGTTGTATATCATGTGCAAGTTATACAGATTCAATACAAGACTTAAGATATTCAGGTTACATCAAAAAAGATTACTTGTACCAGCTCCCCCCCCCCCCTTCCATTGAAGAATGGCAGATACACGGATCTGACAATATTCTTGTATCAGTATTCTAGTTTACTATCTTTCTTGTTTTTATGACTATATGGAGGGTAAACCATAATTTTAATAAGGCTACTTTTGAAAGAAATTTACTGTCTCTCCTCCCATTGCCTGTTTGGGTACTAATTGCATATTTGTGAAAACTTGCTTGGTTTCAGATTTTCGTTTTAGATTTAGTGAATGTGTTCTGTTCATTATAGTTCTGTGATATGAAAATACTGTTTCTTAACTATCACAAATAGTACAGGTCCTTACTTTTGCTATCCATCCTTCATTATTACTTGTAAACTAATGGATAAATAGTTAGGTATCTGTTGTTGGCACAATAGTGGGGAAAAATGATAATTTGTCCTCTGTAAGTAATGTCTGTTTTTTATCTGATGAAGACTGCAAATACAGGATGAGTTTCTGTTGGAGACCCTAGATCCATGACAGATTATAACATTTTTGCTTTTGGTTCATTTTCTTTCTTTCTCTCTCTTTTACTGTCCCACCTCCACACCATCTAATCTTTCCCAAACAGCCACAGCTGGGGAATCTGTTGCAGGTGAACCGGACCTTGGGCCGCAATGTACCTCTTACTTCCCAGCTCATCTTGATGCCAAATGGGGCTGTGGCTGCTGTTCAGCAGGAATCACCTTCCCCTCATGCTCCTGGGATCCACACAGACACAGACCAGGTCAGTGACACCCTTTTCTGGGGGCTCCCATGACCAGCCTGACATGTCCTAATTTTATGTGTATACGTAAATTTCACAGTGTCACTAATGAAGCATTAATTTTATGCTTTGTTCTTGTTTCATAATGGCATTCATCATTTACTACACACATCATTGTTGTAGAGAGAATTTATCCAGTTGAACAGCTATACTAATGTTTGTGTCTGTTGTATCCTCGTTCTCAGAATATGTACTGGAGTTTGCTCAGAACAGTATTTATATGGGGGAAAGATGTTTTTATCTAGTTCTGCCCAGGAAGTGCCATGTGATTTTAATTTTAAAGAGAAGAGATTAAAATTTGCCAAAGTAACCAATTCTTTTATAAATTACTTGATCCTCCTTCCCTATGGTATTTAACAATATTGGCTAATATCATTTTGAACCCAGGAGAAATAGGGCAGTTTTTCTGCAGATTCAATTTCAGGACACTGCCCTTTGAAACCTACAGTAATGGCTTATTCTTTTTCCTTATATTTTCCAGGTGCAGAATTTGGCTGTCAGGAGCCAGCAGACTTCAGTAGCTAATGCACCACTCCAAGGTTCTACTCCAAAGGCTACTTTGCCAGGGAATTCCCAGTCTTCAGTACTACCCCATGCTGCCCAAACATTGACAGTAACCCAAGGATCTTCTGGCAATGTAGGCCAGTCACTCAATCTAAGCCAAGGTGCAGCAGGAAGTAATGGCATTTCTGGAGGTATGGCCTCGTCAGTAGGCAGTCATGCTACCACTGGGTTGAACCAGTCAACTTCATCTGGCCCAGGATCCAGCTGCCAAAGGAAAGGCACTGGTGTGGTTCAGCCTTTACCAGTACCTTCTGCTCCCCAGGCAGTGACTGTGAGCCAAGGAAGTCAGACAGAGGCAGACAGTATGGCAGCAAAGAAAGCTGAAGGTGATGGTAATGGGCAACAGACTGTGGGCATGAATCTGACCAGGACAGCTACACCAGCTCCAAGCCAAACTTTGATCAGCTCTGGTATGTTACATGTGATTCTTTTCTTTGTGGGAAGCCTGCCAATGAATTCTTGAACTTTTTTGTATTCTTTGACAAGGTTCATTGCTTTTATAATTGCTACATGCCACAGGAAAGATAGACTTTAATATGGTGTAGCCAATTGGTACTACTCACTGCTGTGTTGGATTAGATTGGAGGAAAAGTTCTTGTTCTTGGTAAAGAGAGCTGTGTTTTATCACACTGTCTTCATTCTCAGCAAGTGAACAGACAAAATTGTTTTCTGCAAGGATGAGAAATAAATCTATCACAAGGGCAACTTGTCCTTCTCTACCAGTGATATCAAGGATTGGACATACATAGTTCCTTTACAACAAGCAATGTTGCTCAACCTTGGCAACTTTAAGATGTGTGGATCTCATCATATGGCTGGCTAAATAATTCTGAGAGTTGAACTTAAAGTTGCCAAAGTTGCAAAGAAATACTGGCATAGAAAAAAAAATGCTCCCGATCTCTGCCTGCTTGGTGGAAAGGGTTAATCTTTGATTTGTGAATGTCTTTCTTCATCAATATTAAGAAGAGAACAGAAGGAAAAGGTTCAAGATACTGTCAACGAATCACCTTTTGCAGTTACATAGGTACAATGAATCACCTTTTGCAGTTAGAGTAGGTACAATGAAATGGTTTTTAATTTGCTAGGTACTCTTAGCTTCTCCTTTTCTTCATCTTCCCTAATTGTTATCTTTTAGGGTATGGGTATCTGACTTCATTTTCTTACATTAAAGTATGTAATGATGATGCTAACGCTTTTTCTTGCTGTTCACAGCTACGTATACCCAAATCCAGCCTCATTCACTGATCCAGCAACAGCAGCAAATTCACCTCCAGAAGCAAGTGGTGATCCAGCAACAAATTGCTATCCATCACCAGCAGCCATTCCAGCATCGTCAGTCCCAACTCCTGCACACTGCTACACACCTCCAGCTGGCCCAGCAGCAGCAGCAAGCTCCACCTATGACCCAGCAGCAGCAGGGGCCACCACAAATTCCACAACAAGCCTCATCTCTTCATGGCCAACAGCAAGCCCAAACTCTTGTTGTCCAGCCCATGTTGCAGTCACAACCTCAGCCAGTGCAGCTCCACCAGGACAGTCATTGCCAGACAGTCACTAAGACCTCTGTCCCTATTCAATCCAAGCCTCCCACAGCCCCTCTGAAACACTCACAAATTGGTGCGGCCAAAATGTCAGCTTCCCAGCAGCCCCCCCCTCATATACCAGTACAGATGGTAGGAAATCGTCAGCAAGGTTCAGCTCAGGCTCAGGCATTAGGGCTTCCTCAGATGAACACAGCCGTGCAGCCCCCCCCGGGGTGTGCCAGCTGTAGTGCAGCCAGTATCCCAAACCCATACAGTGTCCTCATTAGCACAGATCTCTTCCTCTTCTTCCTCTTCTTCGGTATCATCATCACCACCACCACCTTCTCTTCAAGAAGCACTTTCTCCGCTCATTGCTGGAGCCAATGTAGCACAGGGCACAGTGCAGGTGAAGAGCACTACTTAATCTCCAATCCTTACTCAAGCATCAGCCACAGCATATTATGTACAGCCAGTCCAGTTATCAGTAAGTGGCCCCTTGCCAGTGTAGTGGGAAACAGAGTTGGAGGGGAACAGGTATAAAGGGCTAATTTCCCTACACAGGCTCATCACGCTAGTCTGTTATTTTAAAAAAATCATTTTGCATCTGAGGTTTTCATATGGCAAATTCACCTCCAGAAGCAAGTGGTGATCCAGCAACAAATTGCTATCCGTCACCAGCAGCCATGATCTGAGTTTGTGCATGATGCATACCAAGTGAATCAGATTTTCTGTAGTTTTAACTTTTTGTGTGATGTTCTCTTTGGATTTGACACAAAAGATACTACAGTAGAAGTATGTTCAGGATCATTTCATAACATGTTTTCATAACATTTAGTCAAATAAGGTGATTTTTAAATGAGTCATTTCCTTAAATTTTTAGATAAGTGAGACAAAAATTGTTGGTTTCTTTTGAGGAAAGGTGCAGTTGAAAGAGATAGGTAATCTCTGTTGTCTGTGGTTCTGCTGTTGCTTCTTTCCATGCAGCCTTGATTTGATGGCTGGAATCTTGGATCTTAATAATACTTAAAATAAATTGTATAATATCTTTACTAAAATATATGTAACATTTCAAAGTGTTTCTCCTACACAGAGCAAGCCCCAGGCTTTGGCAGTCAAGCGCAAGGCAGAATCTGAAGAGGAGAGAGAAGATTCTAGTACACCATCTTTACAGGCTGTCAGATCTTCTCCTGTGGCTGAGAGCCCCAAAATCATAGAAGATAAGGGTGGCCTTGGAGGTGAGGAAAGCAGAGCTACATTTTTCATTGTTGTTGTGGTTCACACATAAGGATTCTGTGCCTATGCATTAGCCTAATAGGATGTTCTGAACTATAGGATTTCTCCCAATCTAAATAGTATAATATACATAAAGACATCACTCCTACTTTTCAGACTTCAAGCTCAAGGAGATGTTGCATTCAGAATGCTTGACTTCTGGGTGTGCAAGAAACCATTGGACCTAGATCACTATGAGAAAAGGCAAAGAATAGAAGCTCAAATCTGAATCTGGTACTGAGTTTGCCAATCCTGCCACTTCAGTTATGATGGAGATGTTCTTCCTATTCTGCAGCTGCTATCTGTTAGCCTTTCCGTTATTGATTGCATAGAAACCAGTTTACACACACACACACACACACACATACATACATACATACATACATACATACATACACTTTTGAGGTAATTCCCCTAGGAGAATGAGCACATACAGGGAGACATATTTGAGAGTAGTGTTTGAATAACACACATACAGCAACACAGATACACTGTACAGTAAATGTAGGTTTTTACTTCCAGAAACGTTAAGCAAAGTCCAAAAAAACAATCCAAAGTCATTCACAGGTAAATCAGTCAGTTTTTTCAATTCAGGGATAATTCAATAACAAAGTCCAGTGTCAAAAACAGTTCAGTAACAGACTTACATTAAATCCAGAAAATATCAGTCAATTAGGAAAAATGGAGGAACGGCAATACTTTCCAACAGAAGGAAACAGAGATACACTCACACTCTCTTCTGAGACTAAGGCTAAGACTAAACAACCCAGGTTTCTGGCTCCATCTTATGGCCGTTTGAGTAACCACACCCAAGTGCAGTTTTTACCATACTCTTGTTTCAGGTAAACCTGAATCAGATAACATAGTGCGAGCCATGGCTTGTAATGTTTGCCCTCTTCGTTCTACAAACGAGTTATGTTGTGGTCTGTAAGGTGCAGAACGTTTATGCTCAACACCAGCCAATTTCAACGTAGTTTGGAATCTTTTGTTAACAAGCTCAGTCCCATTATCAGTAACTAAAGTAATTACTTTACTCCTCATTTTTCTCTCTGCAAACTTTAGCCAGTTAAAGATACGTTGGAATGTTTCTGTTTTGTTTTTCATGAGATAGCAGAAACCGTACCGTGAGTAAATGGTCCATAATACTCAAAATATAACAGGCACCTCCTAAACTTGGTTTCTTAGGACCAATTATGTCAGCAAAAACAACCTCTAAAGATTCTTTGGTCTTAAACCCATAAAGTCTGTTTGCAGGAGTAACCTTGCTCTTCTCTTGACTACAAGCATTACAGTGTAAATACTTGCTACAGGATTTCAATTTTACACCCTCTGACAATTTAACAGTTTGTTTGAGCATTTTGAAATTAATGTGCCCTAGACGTCTATGCAGTAAATGTATACATGCGGCTTTGCTCCGCATTAGGAAGGCTTCTCACTGGGTGGTCGAATGCATCAAGAAAGACACCAACGCAGGTTCTATCTTGGGTGAGCTGCCCCGATCACAAGTTCGGGAAGCTCTTTTATTAAAAACACATAGTGATATGTCATAAGCGGTGAATTCTATCCAATCATTAAGTTACATGAGTAAGAATATTAGTGCACACATAGTAACATCCAATCACAGTTACATGGTCAGTTTAAAAGGTACTAAGTAGCCAATTAGCGTTTGCATTCCAGTTATTAGCCCATGGTGACGTGTGGTTGATTGATGTTCGTTCCTGGCACACGCTTTCAGCCTACGTGAGGCCTTGAGGCCTTGAGGCCTGGTATGTACCGAAGCTGTTTTATTACTGCATCTCCTCTGTTTTAGTTTTATAGAAAGAAATTTCTTCTGGATCTTCGTCACTGCCCATGCAAAAACTCGTGCGAGCGCACGCATCAGGGTCTTCTGTGGGTATGACTTTGTACAGAGGTTCCTTTTCCCAGAGGGCATTAACCTGTGCAATGGCACGCTTTTCAGCTAACAAGGATAGACTATTGGAGATAGTGCGAATAAAAATTGGTAATACACATGGAAGAATAACGCATCCTAAAGCAATCATACCTATGAGAGCTACTATAGCTTGTAATCCTGGTAGTTTTGGGAACCAGGAACTAAAAATATTTTTAAGATCAATACCTTGCCATACTTGATTAGGATTGTAGGTTAATTGTCGCATCTCATGTAATCTAAAGCTAAACGATTTTGGTAGACAGCTGTGCATAATTTGTCTGTAGCAGTTGCTAGAGTGTTTAGAGCTTTATCTATTCGTTGGCCAGCTAAATCTAAAACAGCTTGTAAACGAATGATTCTATTAATCATATATATGTGGGGGTTAGGTCCAGGTATCCCCTGTATATTCTGATTGACAGGGGAAGCCTACAAAGGCATTATTGGTGTTTCTTTTCCTGCGGGATAATGTATCATACACAGGGATGCCTAGCTCTTGCTTAATAGAGATTGGGAGGAGGAAAAAGGAAGGTCTTATCCACCCCAATACACATGACCCTTGCCAATCTGCAGGAAGGGACGGATAGGCTAGGTTACCACAAATCCAATACATGTTATTTGGGGCTGTCCAGTTTTGGGAAGATGTTGTGTCATTGAGATAAGGCAGGAGGGAGGTGTTGAACTTGGCAGGTGTGGTGGTAGCATTGTCAGGTGCTGTCCAGATCTGGTAGGAGTTATTCCATGTACCTTTTGCAATTTTTTTTTGCCATATCCATGAACAAGTTTTATGCAATAACACTGGTATCAGGGGCTGTATCTAATTTCCTCAAATTATTGTATACCGACCAACCTAATGATGTTTCCTTACCTTCATAAATTATTTCGGTTGTTATGGTAATGTAAGTGTTTGGATCCGATCCTGTGCCATCAATCCCTATACCATAAGTATCCAAGGCAGGGTGTTGTCTGGAGATGGTGATTTCTACCTTATTGTCTGTGGTAGACCCTGATATTTGTTTGAAATGTGACAGATGATTGCAGCCCAAGTACCCTCCCCCAGTATAAACACAGACACAAGACCAACCCAAGCACTCGATGGAACCTCCACAAGGGACCCATTGATTGGGGTTCCCTATGGCCCAGTTGATGGGTGTAGGACACAAATATTTATGATTGTGGGCGTATGTTGTCTTCCAGTCAACCGACCCGCATGAATATCCCCCTGGTTTAGAACAAGCAATACAAACATCAAAGGTTAAAACAATTGGGTTAGTACCGTCCTTGAGCACGGTGGTGTGGTTTAGGTAATAAAGTTTTCCCTCCCCCTCAGGATCAGATCTGCTGGAGGCTCTTGGAAGTCCCGCCCATAAGGTAACGTTGAGACGTACAGCCGTCTTGGGATCGTAGCAAATGGTTTTTGAGTTCATCTTACATAGATGGTACATGGTTCCGTTGTTTTGGCAAGTTTTTCCGGTAGGAAGGCACTTCTGCGGTTGTTGGGTATGGTAGATGAGAGTTAGTTGAATGAAGCCTGCTTGTGTGGTTTTGGTCAGGCAGGGGGAGTTCAAAGGTGTTGATCTGGAAAGAAGCATTGCTGGAGATAAGGAGCCATGGCTGAGGGAGTGTTGACCATCGGAGATAGGGGGGAAAAATGTCCCCAGATGCGGTGCAGGTCAGCAGGAGGGGAGTACCTGGCGTAAAGTACGTCACTCGAGATGGAATGGAGACCTTGGAGGCATGTGCAGCAAGAAGGAGGAAGAGGGTCGGCAAGGCAACGAGACGAATCATGTTGATATGTCTGCAGGTGGTGATTTTTCTACTTAGGGATGGTATGGTCTGACGTGCCATCCAGGAACCCACAGGACACGATCTGGAAGCTGGATAGCTGCGTAGCCACGACCCCAGGTGAGGAGACCAGCAGGGCCTTTCCAAGTAGGTTCTGGCAATTGGCGGTAGTATACCTGTGGTTTGGCAGAATCAGGGGAAGGGGGGGAGGAAAAATGCCGCTCCGCTGCCGTCATAGCAGGGGTGCCGGAAAGATTGAGGAAGTTGAGAGTATAAAGACAGAGATTAAGAGTGTCTTGCATCGCCGGGAGGCTAGGGGTTCTTTTCCTTTTGATCAAATGTCGTTCTAACGCTGTTTTTAGCGTTAAGTTAGCTCTCTCTACCAGGGCTTGTCCCTGTGTTATAAGGGATCCCAAATTTGTGGGTAATTTGCCACAGTGCAAAATTCTGACATAGCTGTGCTAGTGTATGCAGGACCATTATCTGTTTTTATTTCATTTGGGCGTCCCAACGATGCAAAAGTGCGAATGCAATGATTGATGACATGTTTGGAGGCTTCTCCTCTTTGCGGGGTTGCCATTATGAACCCTGAATAAGTATCAATTGTGACATGCAGATACTTCCAGGGGGCAAACGGAGGAAACTGAGTAACGTCCATTTGCCATATTTCGCAGGCTTTCAACCCGCGGGGATTTACCCCTAAGGGAATGGAATGGGCTTGTTGACTACAGGTGGGGCATTGCTGTCTAATGGCTGAAGCTTTGGCCATAGTAAGGTTGAAATGTTTCATAAGAGCTTTGGTGTTTGGATGGAAGTAAGAATGGCTCTCCCAAGGAGTTAATGTGTGTGATGTCATGATGCCTGCAGCCACCCGATCAGCCACATCACTGCCTTCCTGGAGGATTCCTGGGAAGGGTTGGTGGCTGCGAATGTGTGCTACAAAGAGCGGGTGTTGACGCTGTGCAATAAGGTGTTGCAATGTAACAAAAAGAGAGAGAAGGTTTTTATCAATAGCGGGAGAGAGGTAAGAATCGTGTCTAGGATCAAGTTGAGGGGTTCGTTAAAATTCTGGAGGACTAATATGGTTGCAGCAAGCTCAGCTCTTTGTGGTGATGTATTGCTTGAAGCTGAGGTTGCTGCAAGGATATTATGTCAGCAGGCTTTTTCCCCCAGGTAAGGGCTTCAAACAATGGAGAAAGAATATCAGTGGTTAAAGACAGGAAAGGTCGGGCCCAGTTTATGGTACCC